ATTCTTCGATGGGGCGATCTCCCTGACGAAGACGCATGAGTTGAATTCCTGCTGGATCCATTTTGTGGCCGAGTCTTCTGTAACGCCGGGGAGTAACACCACAACAGAAGGTAGGATCCAATATGCAGGTTTATTCACAGTCAGGCAAGCAGTGGTCCATACGGGAGCAAACAGGTATGTGAGGACAATCCAGAATCGTAGTCAGTTTAACAATCAAAAGGTCGAAAGGCAGGCGGCAGACAAGGATAACTAAATAAACAAGGCTAGGTTCAAAACAGGAAAACAAGACAAGGAAAACGCGTTGTAATGCTACTATACAGTGAACAAGACTCGGCAAACTGAAGGGGTGAATGTGTGGCTTAAATAGTGTGTGTTAATCAGTCTCTGAAAGTCCTCAGGTGTGCAAATGTAATCAAGCTGGATGAGTGAGCAGGTGTGAGTGTCTAGGAGAAGTGCATGTATGCATATGTAGTCCAGAAGAAGGCAGATATGTAGTTTTATGAGTGAGTGTTTACCAGCGACATCTGGTGGTTGTTCGCTGGTGAACATGACACTATATAAAAATAGCACTGGAGAGTTTCTCAGTGTTTCGCTGGTAATGTCTTTAAATAAATAGGCCTATTTAATTATTCATTTATTATTTATGTACAGTAATTGAGACATAAAATGAGATAGTAAAATGTAATCAACAACGAAAATGTAAATTAAAACTGTAACTGTAAACGTAAATGAAAAAGCTTTTTTTTGAGTGCCTTAGTCCTATCACTTTAAAATGACACTGTCCATCTCTCTATATTTAGACTAAAGCACTGTTTTATTTGTTTTTATATTTCTTTATTCCTACTAATTTGTATGTATGTTTGTACTTACATTTTAGTTGTGTTTTATTTCTTTAATTTTACTTTCCAAAATGAATCCTCATTGCACTTTACAAGTTTACAATGATAAAGCTTGTTAACAGGTTTTTAATGATTAATGAAGGAATTATAATGCATTGTTTCATCTTCATTTACAAGTAGAAGAGTATTTACAGCTACTGTATAGGCTATTTCTGTCCGTTAGCATCCCGTCTTTTTGTGCGCCCTGGCAGCATAGTTGCAAACTGCGGTCATACCTAAAAACACATTCTTACTCCTTTAGAGCGGCGGCAGTACAAAGCGTGGTGGTAATGGTCATTTTAAAGTGTCACCCACTGTAATTGTCGATCAATAATATATGATCATCTATATAAAAAATGTCTATCATACTATTAACATTTGATTAATTCAATTCAATTAAACTGCACTAAATTTTAAACTACTTTCAGCTTCATTATTTGTATAGTCTTATGATTATTTATTTATTTATTTTAGTTTTTTTAGGAACTATGTGAAACTATAATCTAAAATAGCTATCCAAATTGAATACTCTAAAAAAATAAAGTTTTCTCTTTGTTTGAACTACTTCATAATGAGCTGAAACAAAACAATTCTACTTAATTGTTTTATGTTCAATCCACTTAAGTTTGTAAAAACTAATAAGCTAACTTCTGCATGTCTTCGCAACACAAATCTATGTGGAACCCAACATTTTTTACAAAGTACAGAGTTAAATATTAAAAAATCATTTCTGGATTTTTTAACATTATATCAAAACTGTTTTCTGAACACAGACACACACACACCCTCTCTATAGATTAACGTTGTTATTGGGCAAATTAAAAGGGGCAGCTCAACCCATAAGGAAAACAATGCTGTTGAGATACTCACCATCAGTTCATTATAGACTGATGTGATATTTGTCATCAGAAGATTATTAAGCAAGATTTTTAGCTGAATTGATGGTCCTTGCTGTGGACCACTGAGAAACTGCTGCCTAAAGAACAACCTATTCGACATTATTTAAATTAGTTGTATTTTACATTGCTTCTATGTGTGTTATATGGGGACAAATTTGGCTTGGATTAGGTTATAAAACATATATTTGAATAAAAAGTGCAAGGTTCTTGTTTATATAGCTAAATGACGTGTGCGTGTGAGTCTGTGTGTGTGCATTGTATTATTTAAGGGCATGTCAATGTTTGTTTTTAAGCTTTTCTTGCTTTGCTTTTGTTGTTTTTGTCGAGAATGGGATTAAATGACTGATGTTTGTTTTCATCGCATGGGTAAAGTGATAGTTCACCCAAAAGAAAAGTTCTGTCATCATCATACATGCTCTTCCATAACTTGTTCCAAACCAGTTTGAGTTGGGTCTTTTCAAGATATTTTGAAGAATGTTGGAAACCAGTAACTATTGACATACATAACACAAACAAAAAGTCAGTGGTTACTGGTTTCCAACATTCTTCAAAATATCTTCAACAGAATTAAAACTCAAACTGGTTTGGAACAGTAAATGATGAACTTTACTTACTAATGAATTACTTCACTTTATACACACTTACCACATACAAATAGAGCCACATCACCACATAAAGAAAGTTTTAAGAGTCAATAACTGACAGCACAGGGCACAAAAGATAAACTTAAGCATCTAAAGGAAGTGGTAGAAACTCATTGTGAGGTAGATGAGAGCAATTCATTCTTTCATTAATATTCCTTTAGCTTAGTCCCTTATTTATCAGAGGTCGCCACAGCTGAATGAACTGCCAACTATTCCAGCATATGTTTTACATATCAGATGCCCTTCCAGCCACAACCCAGACCTGAGAAATACCTATACACTCTTATTCACACACGCACTCATAAACTAAGGCCAATTTTGTTTATCCAATACATTTATAGCACGTCTTTGGACTGCCGAGGAAGCCTGAGCACCTGGAGGAAACCCAACGTGAACATGTAGAGAACATGCAAACTCAAAGAAATGCCAACTGTCCCAGCCAGGACTTGAACCTGTGACCTTCTTGCTGTGAGGCAACTGCTAACCACTTCGCCACCATGCCGCATAAGGTGAGAAACAACTATTTTTAAAGCCTTTTGCTTTACACCAGTAAAGATCATTGAAGTGCACTTAAAAAAATGATGTTTACTGTTTGTTCAAACTACTTATTTTCAAGAGTTCAACCTTACATAGAGAGAAAGATGAGCCCAAGGCATCCACCTGGTCAATGAGCATTAGGAGGGATACTAGATCAAGAAGTTCTCGAGAGCTCCCCTGATTCGTTTAGCCTATACCGTGATTATTAAGACGATTAATAAGACGATTGAATAATAAGACGACTCTATGAAAACCAATGTGTAAACATTAAGGGCTTGTGAGTGTTACTATTATTAAATTTACTTGTGTCACATGTCTTTAGACCATGGGAGGAAACCGAAATACCTGAGAAAAACCCACGCAAACACGGGAAGAACATGTCAACCACACAGAAAGTGCCGACTAGCTCAGCTAGTGCTTGATCCAGCCACCTTCTTGCTGTAAGGCAGCAGTTCTAGCCACTGAGCTGCCATGTTGTATGATCATAGAATTGTGGAGGAGGGAGAAGGGATGGATGGGGGGTTCTTCCAAAACGAAGATAGGGAATGAAGTTAGGGTGGATATTTATGTTGAATTTAGAATAATACGATTGGCTGGCTAATGATTAGCAATAGGGACCAGCTGCAGTCAATCATATTACATGCTCCTTTCGAAATTAGTTTGTGAAACCACAAAATAAGCTGAAACAACACAATTCTTGAGTTTTTTTGGGACAACTTAGTTGTTTTATGTTCAATTCACTTGCAGTAAGAGCTAACAAGTTAACTTAATTCATTCATGTTGTTCCAACACAGTGTGCTTAAAGTGTGTCAATGTATTTTACCAATTGCTGTCCTGAACAGTTGACCAACGTTCAGGTTTCCATACCACAAAGGGGGAAACTGTGGATACTTTCCATGCTTTGGGCACTATTCCTGTTTAACAAAATCTGGAACAACCGGTTAAAACCCCTTTTCAATTGATAAGAGTTCTTCAGTACACACCCATTTAGCCCCCCTTATCAGGCTTTATAAGGGACAGGCAATATGTAGTTATCAGTATATCTTTGTTTATGTTCAACAGAACAAAAGAAAACTGGTTTGGAACAAGTAGAGGAGAAGTAAATGAAGACAGCTTTCATTTTTGGCTGAAGTTATATTGAAATACTCCTTCTTGACCAACTAGAAACTAGCTGCTTGTTCTCAGAATGTTGTTGTCTGGATTAGACAGCAGTGTTTAGTCAAATGATCTTAACTGAGTAATGGGATCTTAATACCTATTTTTTTTTTTTTTTGGTAATAAGATCAAGAGATAATATTTACAAAATAAAAAAGCTTTCATAGGAATCTGTAGCATGTGAATTATGTGTTATCGCTAAAAATATTCAGAAGTCTTCAAATTGATCCCTATCTGAACTATTTAAATGCTATAACACAGCATAATACACTGTACAAAATGCTGGCTTCCACACAATTCCGTCCTGTTGTCCCAACACAAATCAATTAAGTTGATTGAATTGTATTTGCAAATTTAAGTGTATAGAACAGAAAACAAGTATCAAGTTTTCCCAAAAAATCCTCAAGAATTGTTCTGAGTCAGCTCATTTTAAATAAATAGCTTATAGAAGCAGCTAAAATATTTTTTTAAGTGTACATATAAAAAAAAAACAGTAGAGTTAAGTATCATTACGTTCTCATTTTTTGCGTATTTTAGGATTACTTTGTCACAAGTAAAGCTGTCTGTCTGCATATGGAAAGGTTATTGTGTGGGTGTTAATAACTGGTCTGTCCAGTTGTGTTATATAATGAAAACAGAAATCTCATTCCCTTATCTCTTCACACATTATATCAAACAATTAGTTTTGGCTTATTATGTTCATGTGTTTTATAAACACAGAAGAGAGAAGTGAACTGAAGTTGTTGAATGATTCGCACTTGGTCAAGCATGGCAGAAATGTACAAGACAGACAAAAGTGTGTTGAGTGTGGTGAAACTGCAGTGTTGATGGAGTGTCAGGTGGAGGGTCATGGGTGTTTTCCACATGCAGTGACACACCACTTACCTGACCAGTGACTTTCGGGAAGTACTTAAATGGAGATGCAATCCTACTCATATCTTTTCACGGGACTTTCTTAACAGTTGATCTCCATCCTTTCACTGCCATCATTTAATCTCAAATTCAGGTAAGATCTATTTTGAGATTAACGATTTTGTATGTATGTATGTATATATATATATATATATATATATATATATATATATATATATATATATATATATATATATATATATATATATATATATATATATAATATTTAGTCATCAAACATATTGAGAAATTAAAAGATCATACAATTAAATTCAAGCAAAATATTGCAAAATAAATTACAACCTACTAATTTTTTTGCTTCTCTTGATTTTTCCTCTTTTAAATTTGTATTTAATATTTTCCTATGACATATACATTTTTCTGTACTAATTTTTTGGAGCTCCAGATTTGGCATTTGTACTGACTAATTTAATGTATATGCACAAATATAATATTTTATAGCTTCCTATTAAATATGTGAATTTAAAAGAGAGATTTGTGAGGGGTGTACTCGTATATGCTGAGCACTGTATATATATATATATATATATATATATATATATATATATATATATATATATATATATATATATATATATATATATATATATATATTGATCCACATCAAATGTTGACTACTGTATAGGTATGGAAATATGTTAAGAAACCTTCATACTTTAAGAAAAGGACTTCCTGTGGATTTACAGGATTTATTATGTATGCGTTTGAGTAAAATATAATAAACACATGTTAACATTGGCATTTAGAGCATTTTTTTCTCCAGAAAATGACAAATGGTCAGAATAACAAACGTTCTTATTTAATATTTAGTTAAATAGGCTTAGTTTTCAATAAAAATAATGTAACTTCAAAATCTATTCTAGACATTACAAAACAAGTTACAGGGTATTGTTTTATCTAAAAATAAAATTGTACCTGAAAACATGGCACCTTTTTGATATTTTGTTATTTTACACACACAAGTGTGTGTACCTATTCAAAATGTTCCCACAAGTATAGCAATACCAGTAATAATACCATACCGTAAATTATAATAAAATCATTCATTCATTCATTTTCTTTATGGCTTAGTCCATTTATTAATCAGGGGTCGCCACAGTGGAATGAACCGCCAACTTATCTAGCATATGTTTTACTCAGCGGATGCCCTCCCAGCTGCTACCCATCACTGGGAAACACCCACACACTCTCATTCACACACACACACACACACACACACACACTCTCATACATTACAGCCAATTTAGCTTACCCAACTCACCTATATCGCTTGTCTTTGGACTTGTGGGGGAAACCGGAGCACCCAGAGGAAACCCACGTGAACGCGGGAGAACATATAATCAAATCATCAAAAAATAAAAAAATAAATAGTTTTCCAATTCTTTTTGCAATTTTTACATTTTCAATAAACATCATGGTCTAAGTGTGTCAGTGTTACAAACTTTATCATTGCAGTTTATTGCAGTCTGTCATAGTTATGTTTGCATTTAATTATACTTGATTTAGTTATGATAAGCTAGTTTGATTTAATGTCGAAACACACACATAACATCTGATCTGTGGCCAGTGAACTGCTAAATTAACCATTCATCATTCCATATTTGTATGTACTGAAATGTTTGTGTCTGTTGCAGGATTACGCAATAAACAGAATGACCACTCAGCAGCCCGGGCAGTTTATGATAGCACAGACCAATGACCAGTGGAGCTCTGGAATCTGCGACTGCTGTGACAATGTGCCCGAGTGTGAGTCTCTCTCACTCATTCTTTCAGTCTTGTTGATTTTGGTGTGTCTCTGTGGGTGTATTTTCTTAAAGAATGTCACTTTTGATGCAGCGCACAATAGCATTGTTAAAACTAGTCTTGCATTGCTGGGATGTGTGTATAAAGGGAACACCAGAGGAGTGCCAGTGCATTTCTGAGAAAGAGAAAAGGCCACTTTATTTTGTGATCATTAATGGTTTACTGTACATTATTACTGTAATAATGCTTTTCTGTTGCTATTAACACTTTAAGGTGAACTACACTATTGGACTGAACATTGCTGGCATTAGTTCACAAATCTGATTCAGTAGTTTCTAGTAGGAGGCAGCAGAGTTGTATCCATACATGCTGCTAAAACTTGAGAGAGTTTGTATTTTATTTAAAGGGATAGTTCACCCAAAAAAGGAAAATTATGTCATTATTTACTCATCCCTTACTTGTCACACATCTGTTTGAGTTTCTATCTTCTGTTTAATACAAAAGAAGATAATTAGAAGAAAGTTGAAAACCGGTAACCATTCTGAGTCAGTGGTTACCTTTTTTCAACATTCTTCTAAATATCTTATCTTGTGTTTAACAGAAACTGATAAAGGTTTGTAATTACTTGAGGGTGAGTAAATTTGGGAGTGTACTTTTTATTTAATGCCTGGGAATGTGTGATGTGTGTAAGTTTGTGAGCTTTGGGCAAACACTGCCACCTAATGGCTACTCCGGGCAACAGCCTGAAGGTTAGTTAAAGGCAGGGGTGCCCTCTAAAGTTTTTCCTCTAAAGGGCCAAAAACCAAACTTGATTGAGGGCTGCGGGGCGAACATATACCAAACCGTATTACAATAAATTTACCAAGGGGAATATTCTAAAAATGTTGCTTTAAATCTTATTACAGTTTTCTCAATGGCTTTGGTGCATTTTTCACAACACTATTTACATTTGCACAAAAGTTCTTGCATTTCTCAAAACAATTAGTCATTTGTGTACTTCATAGTAGCAGTTTCTCATTCCTTCCAACTAATTGCAAATGCTTTTGGACATGCATCAATTGCTTCCATACAACTCTCTGCTATTTATAACATTATCATTTGCTTATGTCATTTCAGTCAAAATTAACTAAACTTGTGAATGCTGAATAGTCACTCCATATTAAATCGTCCTCATTTCATTACTTGAGTCATTACATACAAAAATGTAAAACTAGTTTTCAAAATCTGTTTGGCAAAATTTATTTAAAAAAAAAACTTTATTTTCCTGAAAATGTCTCAAAAATTGAACAATTTCATGAATGATTTACAGACCAGTGTATGTTGTAGGTCCAGTTCCAATATGTTCTGCAATATTGTTTACAGTTGTGCACAGCTCTACCCAAAGGAAGTTTATGTTTGTTGTAAAGGGGGTATTTACTCTTTTGCACAATGATGTGAATAAATTGGAATTGCAACGAGCAAATGCAGTAAAAATGTGAAACATACATATTCAGTGTCTTGTACTCAGATACCTCACAAAATGCAGTGATGTCTGATTTTACTGTAGTTTTCAAATGGCTGTGCAAATAGTATATAGTGCTGTCATGAGCATATTCAGGAAGTGTCACCAAAATCTGACTTTATTACATTGAAAAAATGTCATAATGAAAACATGACAAAGCCATTTTATTATTTTGTTCATAAACAATGGTGTCAGGACTTTTCGTTTTGATGGTACTGACACTTTGATTGACATCAATACTTGCTTTTAAGGAATGAACTATTCATTTTGGTTATGCAGTTTGTCCTATTTGCTTTGAGAAACTGTTGTGCAGAAATGCACTAGTGTTGTGAGAAACGCACCAAAGCAACTGAGAAAAACAGTAACTAACGCTGTATCATTTAGGCAATTTATAATGAACAGATTACAGTAAAAAAATAAACAATCCCATTTATAAAACAATGGAGTTCAATGCTGAATACACTAGTCAAGAAACAACAAAGAAACAAAGAGCTATGTTGTATTCGAAATGTGCCTTTAGCCGTCTTTTGTACTTTGGGCATCTCTGGTCAAAGGGATAGTTCACCAAAAAAATTACTCAAGTGGATCCAAACCTTTACAACTTTCTTTGTTCTGTTGAACACTACAGATAATATTTTAAAGAAAGCTGAAACCTGTAACCATTCATGTAGTTGGAAAAACCTGTGCATGTAAATGGTTACCGGTTTTCAGCTTTTTTCAAAATATTTTCTTTTGTATTAAAGCAGAATAAAGAAACTCAAACAGGTTTGGAACAAGGGATAATTTTAACAATTAACAAACAGTTCACTATACGAGACACAATAATAAGATGGATGGATGGATGGACGGACGGACGGATGGATGGACGGACGGACGGACAGACAGACAGACAGACAGATAGATGCAATCAGTTTTATTAGCCCCCATGAATTATTAGCCCTCTGTTTATTTTTTTCCCAAATTCTGTTTAACCGAGAGATTTTTTTAACACATTTCTAAAAAATAATATTTTTATTATTAATTTCTAATAACTGAATTATTTTATCTTTGCCATGATAACAGTAAATTATATTTTAGATAATTTGTCAAGACACTTCTGTACAGCTTAAAGTGACATTTAAAGGCTTAACTAGGTTAATTAGGTTAACTAGGCAGGTTAGAGTAATTAGGCAAGTTATTGTATAACGATGGTTTGTTCTGTAGACTATCAAAAAATGTATAGCTTAAAGGGGCTAATCATTTTGTCCGTAAAATGTTTTTTTTATTATTAAAAACTGCTTTTTTGTAGCCGAAATAAACCTAATAAGACTTTCTCCAGAAGAAAAAAATATTATTAGACATACTGTAAAATTTCCTTGCTCTATTAAACATAATTTGGGAAATATTTAAAAAAGAAAATAAAAATTCAAAGGGGGGCATATAGTATATATAAAGAGTATATAAATGGGATGGATCACAATTTTAGCTAGTCTTAGAGTAGCCTGTTCATAAAAAATCTGTGATGAAATCTGTTCTTTTACCCAAATAATTTTCCAAACAGTGTAAAGTGTCAGTGTCATACAGAACAATTATTCATTAGCTACAGCCAAGGCAACACCTGCCATTGTGATTTTATTGTCTCTGTCTGACAAATTATTAAAAAACATTAGCATACTCATTTTAAAAGTCACCACTAGTCTCTGATTTCTTTTATTCAGGTCAGTTCAGGCCTTTCTGTTCTTTGTGGTTATTAGTGACCGTCAGTCTGGTACTCATCGCTTACCATTTATCATATCTGTATCAAATCCCCATTTAGTTTCTTTTTGTAAACAAAAATCTAGATAGTTGGAAAAATGTTGATAACCAGACAGAAGACTTCAATAGGAAAGCAAATACACTAAATATTTATGAAAGTTGTAAAGTAACTACAAGTATCATAAAAAATGATATGATATAGTATATTATAACGAATAAGTATTTGAATCTTTTAATCAATAACCACATGTGCTTACTGGAAAATATGCTGTCAATAAACCTTTGCTTATATAGCACCTTACGACAACCAAGGTTGACCTTTACACCAGTAAAAATAAATTATACAACACAACTAGAAATCAAAACATTAAAACAGAGAAAAGTGTCAGAGCTACTGTTCTTTAAAAGCCATTTTGAATAAGTGGTACCTAAAAAATCTACTAGCAAGTACTAGTGGCCTATTATGACAGATGCTACATTTATAGAATAATTGTTGAAACTATTGGGATGTCAATATACACCACACTATTACAGAGATTTAATCCCAGAAACAATGGTCAATTAATAATACATCATTCTAGAATGTGTTTAGGAATACTGCAACTAAATTACAGTAGGCCTAATGACAATACCACCAGGTGGCGTTTATTTAAGGCAAATGAAAGTGAGAGATTCCAGAGAAAGTTAAGTAGAAGTAATTAAGCATTCCAGAGAGTCGATACGAGGAATTACTGTAGTATATAAAGAAAAGTGAAATATCAAAGCTACATTACAGCTCCTACCCCTCTTAAATCTTGTTTTTATGCGCAGGTTGTTTCTCATTCTGGTGTTTTCCCTGTTTTGCCTGTTCGACGGCTCGTAAGCACGGCGAGTGTCTATGTTTGCCGCTCCTCGATGGATTTGGCTTCATTCCTGCAATAACTCTGGCCATGCGCGTGTCAGTGCGCAGTCGCTATGGAATAAAGGTTTGAGGGAAAACAAGATTTAAAAGCCTTTTCTATGAAGCATTTATCTAGAGAACTTACCATGTTTACTTATCTCTCACTCTTTAGGGCTCTATCTGTAAGGACTGTGCTTACTCCACTTTCTGTGGAGCTTGCTCCTGGTGCCAGATTTCTCGAGAAATGAACATCCGAGAGCAAAGTTTGACATTTGTCACTCATCGAGCAAAATAACATAAAATTTTATTTTATTTCGACCGTCCGCCTTGTTTTCCTCAGTATTTAGCAGTAACAATAGTCACCTGAAATAACTCTTGTCATCTGTCATTTGATCTGCACCATTCTTCCAGTTAATAAAAAAAATTTGTTCGACATTTGTCTTATATGTCTACGTTTATATATTAGTTTTTTTAATATGTTTGCCTAAATCTAATCTTTGCTAAGCTGCTTTGTAAATAATCTTTAAAAAAATGCATTAATTAATTAATTTATTTATTTATATTTATTTATTTATTATTCAAATTTTCTGCTTTATTATATTGTTATGAAACTTGGGAGAGATTTTTTGTCCTTGACACAGACACACACACACACATGGACATGGTCAAAAAAGTTACATTTTGAAATGTAGCAAAAATTGGTAGGCCTGCTGCATCAAAATAAATCTTAAATCTTTTATATTTGAGATGTAAAATATATATTTAATGTGCATTTTCCACAACAGTAAACATAACCGTAAGCATAACTGTAAACTTCTACAACCTTTTCTTCTTTAAGAAGACTTTTTAAGTCCAAGGCATTCAAAAATTATTTAAGATGCATTTGTAAATATACATCTTTTGTTGTCATTCAGACCTGCAACACATTCCAAAAACAGTTGGGACAGGAGCAATTTAGTAATCAAGTACACAGCAAAATATGGGGACCCAAAACAACTCTATGGGTGTTAATTTCAACACTTTGAAAGTGTCTCATGGGGTCCACTCAAAACAAAGTTAAATCAACACTTTCAAGAGGGTTGGCACATTGACACCGAAGTAAGGGTTAATTTTAACTCTGGGCAGAGTTAAAAAATTAACTATATTTAACACCGCCTGGTGTAATATATTGTTATTTTATTCAACTCTCTTGAGTGTAAATATGGTAAAAAGGTCAAATAGACTGTAAATTACAAAAGAAAAAACATTTTATTTGAAAACATTCACCACTTCAACAATTCATTCAGTTTTTAAAATGCAACAATGTCAAATATGCTTTAAATGTTTTTTTTTTTTAGTACAGACAGTATCAACAAAATATGTATGACCAGTGCTCAAAAAGGCTGTTTCAGTCCTTTGGTCCAAAGTTGATGTTTCATCAGAGCAATTTGAAAGTTCAATATATCGTCACTCATAGTTTACTTCTGAACTCATAGCTTTCTTCTGAAATTACATTTTAAACAACTTGGCTTGCAAATCTTTCACTTCTGGTGTTTCCTTGGTCCTCCATATTAAACAGAGCAGTTTAAATGAAGGTATAAATGCTGTAAACTTGTGTAAAAACAAACTGGAGCTATGAAATTTCATCAAGCATGTCCTGTGAATGAAGTGCTTCCCAGCCACAGGATGACCTTTTTATCCATGACGATGTAGTGGCTGCTGATCGCTCGTCTGGTGGTTCCTGATGCACGGATATAGGGTGATGCTCATCTAAGAACTCTTCAAGACTCCAGCATGACTAAGAAAAAAACAAATGTGTTTGAAAACAAATTGCAAATTCTATGATATATTTAAAAGAACATTTAAAGTAAATAAAACATTCAAGAAATCTAAACTCACCTTTTGAAAATCTTCATGATGATCCACAACTTGACTCTCCCAGCTGGTTGAGGTGACAGGATATGGAAAAGTAGAAAAAACACATATATCACTGTTGGATCTCCAAAAACAATTAGGTTAACCACTATGACTAGAACTGGAAAAACAGGCAGCTGTCTGTCCAGAATCCTCAATTTAACACAACACTTGGAGCAAAATTTAGAGGAGCTTAAAATCTTTTATATCATTTAGTGATGCTGACTTCCCCAAAATATTGGCCACAGTGTAAAAAATATTCATAAACTTCATAAACAACAGTTTTCTGTAAGCGTGTGCGTGCGTGCGTGTGTGTGCGTGCGTGTTTCTTTACCAGATTCAACTTGTTAGGCCCTTTCAGGTCCAGTATTGAGGCCACCTTTACTGGAGTCTAGCAGATGTTTCAGGTCCAAATATAATCTAAAATATTAGGATAAGCAGAAGAGGAAAAGTGCAAAGTAAAGAGCAAAACATTATTTAAGTAACAGTTCACCCACAAAACAAAACTTATCACCTTCATGTCATTCATTATTCTTTAATGCTCTAATACCCTCTCAGCTTATTGTGAAACAAATACAGAACTTTATCAAACATACCTTCATAATTATCACCACATATGATCAAGAAGGTGTGCTTGGTCATTTCACCAACTCTGGAAATACACCATCCGTCTCTAATCAGCCACCGTCACAGGGTCTTGTGTTATTGTATAGAGAACTGTGGCTGTTAAAAAAACAACAAAAAATTAGTATCTAACACATATGCATAACCTTCAGATAAAAAAGAGAGATAAACATCACAAAGTATGCCTCACACTTTTTCAGATATCTTTTGATTCAGATGTTGATTATTAATAATAAATCTACAAATCAAACCTGTATCATCATTAGGCTGCTCAAATATGAATCAGTTGATTAATTTTACAGACAGGTGGCTGTTTACAACGCACTAAATTGTCTTTAATAAAAAGAAAATGTTGTGTACAGTACATGCTAAGTTTAGCCTATAGTTTTAAGCACAATATCATGCGGGAGAAAAAGCTTGACTAAGATGTTCCTGACTACAGAAATAGCCTAACTTACTAACGTCAGACATCCCGAGTTGGGAAAAGTCATTTTCGGGGGATACAGAGTTGATTTGCGGGAGGTAGCGGGAGAAATGAGTACCTAAAGAACAATGGGATGAGTTGCGCGCGACGTACCTAAAGAGCGGCGGGGGTGACTTGCGCGCGACGTACCTGAAGAGCTGGGAGGGATGCGGTGGAGAGGGGTGTGCAAAGTGTTTAATGACCGGGCGGGAGACGCGCGATTTCCGGGAGATTATCATTCATTTGCGGGCATCTACTTGGGCATCTGGGAGTCTCTGTGCATTTGCGGGATTAATGTTAGTCCCACAACTTCCGGGAGACTTCTGTAACCTTAAAAGTCTGAGAAAGTGCAAACGCGGTCATTTAAAGACATTAATGTTAACATTCCGACTTTAATGGTTGTCAACGCTTAATATAATTCAAGCGTACGTTATCACGCGAGTCTATCAACTAACGGTAACTTATATGGACGGCCACGAATGAACCAGTTTAAAAGGGCCGCGGTGTTTAATACAACCAAATTAACGTACACGAATAACAAACAATCATATGTTTTAGTCAGGAAGCCTTTTACAAGTAAGCATATGTTCATTTACTCACCAGTTATGTTTTAGAAACTCTCCAGAGCGTATGGAAACCGTCCTGTGTTGCCGTTAGCATCCGGGCAGAGTAGGCTAAGGTTAGACTGCTCTGGGGATTCCCTCGCTAGTTTGCTTCGAATAAAAGGAGAAGTGTCGATTTTATTTTACAGATGGGTAACAACGCACAAAATGGCATTAAGCGTGACAGAAATGTGTTGAACATGTACATTTGATGTTTTTATGCACTATGTATGCGTGAGCATATATAAAACATTCTTGAAAAGAAGTGAATAGTAATGCAGTTAAGCTAGATACACAAACGACCATGAATGAACCGCAGAAGATTAAAATTGTCACTCCATTCTAAAGTTATTAACTTAACAATATGTTTACAACTGTATTTCCTTAGAGAAAGTCAGTAAAATACCAACATTTAGGTAGTTTGACTCACCAGTTGCTGTTCTAAACCTCAGATGGAAAATGGCGTCTGGAAAATTCTTCAGTGACTGGGGCTGCATGAATTCCCGGATGTTGGAAATAACACCACCAAGTGTAGAAAAGATAACTCCTTGATTTCACACTGAATAAAATCAATTCTAACTCTTATTATATTCATTTATCAAAATCTAACTCTTTAACGTCAACACTTTACTCTGAAATGCTTCAACACCGAGAATTTAACTCAGATGAATTTGCTGTGTACTTGTTAAATAAATATGTATTTGAAACAGGTGATGTCAACAGGTGATTGTAATTATAATTTGGTCCAAAAGGCTGCATTCAAGAAGAGTCTAGTCCTTTAGAAGCAAAGATAGGCCAGATTAGACAAATACCTGACAAAATGATTGAAATATTTAAAAACATTGTTCTTTAAAGATAGGAAGACATTTGGATGGTTCATCTTCAACAGTACATATCAAAATTAAAAGATTCCTTGAATCTGGAGGAATTTCAGTGCATAAAGGACAAGGGCACAAGCCTAAGCTGAATAATCCGATCTCCGATCCCTCAAGCAGCACTGCATCAAGAATCGTCATTCATCAATAAGCGATATCACCACAAGGGCTCAGAACTACACTGGCAAACCTTTAAGTCCCACAAAACATAGTTACATCGACAAATGCCAGTTAAAACAGTACTGTGCCAAAAGGATGCCCTATGTTCACCGTGTCCATAAGTGCTGTCAACTTTTGGGCTCAAAGGTATTATGTGATGGACCATCACACAGTGGAAACGTGTACTGTAGCCAGCAGTATTTAAGGTATTTTTTGGGAGAAATGGATGCAGTGTGCTTCAGACTAAAGAAGAAAAGCATCATCAAAGGTTCATCGCTTTGAACCTAAATGTTTGTATTTAGTGAATATTTCTCAGTAAATATAGGCAATGTATTTTGGTGCATTTAAACAAAACTGATTTATTAAACAGATTTATTTATTAAAATCAAACACGCAACAGAAACCCCTTTCTTAGTGTACCTAATTGTGTTGATGGAAATGTTGCTGCAAAAAGAAATTACTGTTTGTAATTGTATTGGTCCTTTAGACTTTTGTTTGATAAAAACAAATAGTGTACTTTACTGCATTTTTATTGCATTTATAAAGTGGATTGAAAATTAAGAAACTGCTGCTGCAATGGTTACAGCTAATAATAGTAATAGTAATAATAATAATAATAATGAAAAATCATCAAAAAATTGAGGGGAAAATGCAAATAAGAAAGCAAAAACATCTAATTATAATTATCAGGCAGGAGTAGCAATTTTTCAATGTTCTTCAAATGTTTAAATATGTTAAAATCTGTCAGTAGATGGCAGCAAAACGCAAGTTTACAATTTATCTTAAAAGGCGCTAAAATGAAGCTTGACGATGATTAAAGCATGGTTGCC